AGCAGCTTATCCCATAAACACAGATGACAAGCACCACCTTGCATTAAAGCATTGACCGCCCAGCTTTGCATTAAAAAAAAAAAAAAAAAGAAAAAAAAAAAAGGAAGGTTGTTTTTCTGGGTGACCTTGAACAACGCGAGTTTTGGCAGGGGTGGGAGAACACCAAGGGGACAGCGTGTGAGCCAGCTTCCACTTCTGCTTCATTTCACTTCGAGACAATGTTTGGTTAGTTTGGATTAGAAACATCAGCTCTGTTTACCATTAGCGGAGCTAAAGGCTTTTACAATGCATTGCGAGTGCCATCTGCAGGTTGAAATACGTACTGGTGGGCGTTCGCATCCCAAAAATGCAGATAAACCTGCTCGACAGGAAATCTTAACAGCGCGTCTGATGGAAAAACTCGTAAATGCAGAGACTACAGAAATGCTTGTTTCAGATCAGTCAAATCACAAAGCCATTCAGCATAGCGAGTGGGATTAACAGAGCTGTTTCCTCAGTATCTTTCCTAATTCTGCACCAGCACAAATGCAGTGATGCTCTTGTGAGCAGAGGAGGATGTCGAAAAGGCCACCTTAACCTCCGATTGCTGGGAATGCCAGAGGGGAGGAGAATGATCTGTGGCCCCTCTTCTCATATACAGAGAATAGGAGAAGGGTTTCCAATAGGAGAAGGCTCAACTTGATAGTGCTGAAGCATTGGGAAATTTTGGGAACGCAAGCCAGTTAACAGAATTTTCCAACTGGAAGGCACACTGGTTTTCAGGATAAAATCCCTGAATAAGGAAAAGTTAGAGTCTAAAATGAAATTATCTTTGGATTTACAATCATAACTGGCTGAACTTTGGTTATCTGATTCACACAAAGTAATTCCAGACAAGCAAAGAGGCTGTCATTGCAGGAACATTGCAGCTACATCCACAGAATGGTATTTCTTTGGTGTTATCTTGATACCTACCTCATCAATAATTCCTGACTACTGAATTTAACTGTGCGGGAGGCACTGTGCCTAAGTTTGGCATTTTCAGGGTGGCAGCCTGTGAACAGTATCAGCACTCGCTGAGAAACTGTCGCAGGTATATACAAGATAACAACCTCCCTCCCAGGAGCTCAGGCTTTTTAATCCAAATTCAAACATTTGCCATCTGTGCATTCCATGTAGAATAAATAGTCAGAAAAATTGCCAGAGCATTGTCTAAACAGCAGTTATGAGAGAAGGGTACCCCAAATTATATTTCCTATTGCCCACAATGCAGCGCTCTAAAATCATTGACATTTTCTGAGCACAGCTGTATGCAGGAATGTGATCTATCTGGGCCGTGCCTGATTGGATCATTACATCCAGATTTATAAATCTGTGCATTTTCTAATCATAGAGTGAGCACGTTCCACCTCTCAATCTAGTGCCTTGGCAGGTCAGTCAATCAGAGCATTTCTCAACACAGCAATCCGAGATACACTACTCTTCTTTACATGCCGTTAGGCAGCGTTCAAAAACAGTGTTTAGCCCACTGTTGAAAATATCAAGAAAACTCATGAAAATTGCTTTTAGTCTGACCTTTGCAAATGCCTTCCTGAAACAGTAGGAGATAAGAACAAATACATCAGAGCCAAAAGAAAGTAGATTTTGGAGAATAAATTTATACTGTATGGCAGGCTAAGTGTTTTTTCCAGAGAGCTGCCAATAGCAAATACTATTGCTTATACCGTCAATCTCACCAAGTACGTCAGTACTACACTTTTTATTTTATTTTTTAAGAAAAACAAACACAACTCTCTTTATTGTCATTAACGCCAGTAATTAATATCCTGATGAGGGGAAACAAACACCAGTTTGTTTCAGGATCTTAGTACATGTGCTTTATTATATGGCTATATTGGGAATAAGCGATGCCAGTTATCCATCTTAGCCATGGCAAAGACATTTGCTATCTTGAGAAAAATGACAAATAATTAAACTTAAGTTAGAATTAATTACAAACCAATTCTAAAGGGTCAAGCATCAAGAAGGGAATTAGGAAGAATAAAAACTGGTCATAATCAGAGCAGGGAGATTTATTCCCCAACCACAAAATCGACCTCGCTAGAAGCTTCTGCAGGAGAACTCCAGGTGTGATAAATTTATGTCCTCCCCTCTTACCCTTGCTATTACTCTTTCCAAAGCAGAAAGTATTATATTCTCAAGTCCTTGACCTCAGATAAAGCCTGAGATTCCTTTCACTTCCTCTCAGCACATGTCCCCATGTCCATTTGCCAACACCGCATTCCAGTGTCACACTGCAGACAGGCCTCATAAATTAGCAATGGTATTCTGGTGTGAATGCACCAGAGGAAACTATTCCTGCCAAAGCCAGGGGGGAAGTAACCAGGTTTGACTTGTGTCAGTTATTTCTAATTAGGAGTCACCATAAACTTCATAGTCGGAGTGTAGAACTGATCATGACTGTTCACAATTGTCCCGGCAAAGCAATGAAGCGCTCATTAATGATATCACATAAGATGTAAAAGAATCAGATTCAGAAAAAACTAAGAGATTCTATACCCATGCAAACTATACTTTTCCCTCTCCTCTCCATCCTCCTCCCAAACACCGACCTTCATTTGAACACATGTGATCATCCAGTGAACTAGATTCATACACCCTTTGCTCTGAATTTGGCCTCATGAAGTGAATGGAGATGTGTCTCAAGTTATTCACAGACAGACATGCTGAAATAGTATAGAAGGAGGACTAATAAAGGGGTTAGAAAAGTCTTAAGTGAAATAATTCTATTCTGACTTACCCTAGTACCTACTCATGCAAGCTGCACATCTGTAAGGTTCCTAAACCCTGATGAGGGGATGCATCTCTAAATTACACCATCCAGTGGAGCAAGCCTTAAGTGAGCTGTTGTTTCCATGTGCAGACAGTTACACAGGTTGCTCTCATCTCTATTGTCAAGCCCATGTTATTTTTCTGTCTTTCCTCACCTGTTCTCAATTTGTTTCCTATATCTCCAGTGAGGTACTAATCAGAGGAGGTAAAAAAGAAAAAAGCTAACTGTAACCCAGAAATGTGAGATATAACTGGAATTATGAAGCTAATATATCATAGGGAAGAGAGATTCAGAAAATATTAATGCCACAAAGGACATTAAATCACCTAGTTTCAGCTCCTTTATATTACATGATCTTCATTTTCATTCGTTATCCCAGTATTGCATCCAATAACAGCTGACCCAAGTACATCTTCTGGAAAGGCACCTAATGTTGATTTCAGGATGAAACCTCCCACTAACTTGTGCATTTGGATGAGGCCCTGTAGAACCATGGATTGCAACCTCCAGCGTAAGGTCCATTTTAATAAATTTGCAACAGGTAACTCTAGAAATTCAAGCCTACTGCCAGAAGGCTTAAATCCACAGGAGGTCCCATGAAATTTTAGAGACCTGCCAGTCTAGAACTGCTGCTTTCAGGCTGTCTGATTTGTCAATGGTATGCAATGACATCCTATCACAGCTGAACAGTAACACTGAAGTTCACTAGCAAGCCAAGCAATAGAGTATTCCATCAAGAGCTGAACAGCTAATTAAAAGAAGGATGTTGGCAAACTGAATGGATCCAAAGAAATAGGTAACAAAAGATATTTAAGGGATTGGTTAATAACATGCTAGGAGAATTAAATATGTTTAACATGGTTAAGAGGCACATAGGAGAAGGCATGCTAACATTCTACAGATATTTCAGGGTTGTTAATTCATCTCCTTCCTTGGCATTTATCTCCGTAAGGGAGATAAATAAAACTAAAGCGATATAAACAAGGGAAGGGGGGGAAGACTGAGAGAAATAGAAATTGAATATGAGGGAGAGAAAAAAAAGAATATCTAGACAGTAGCTGCTATCAGGCAGTGAAATAGCTTCTCTGAGGGCAAAGTGAAAGAGAGATGTCCCTGTTGCTGGAAACATCTTAAACTAAATTAGGCCAACACATGGAAAGGGTACTACAGAAAAACAAAACTAAAGTCTAGTACATTTTTGTCTTATGCCACAGTGAAGTATTTGAGCAATAACCTGCCTTGTGTGCATCAGGAAGACAAAGCATTTAATCTATGTAAAGCAGAATGTATCAATCAGGATTTTATCTGAAACACCCAAAGCAGAAGTAGCTTTACAAACGTCAATTTCTGATAGAGGATGATTCGAATCTAAAACAAAAAGGTGTAATATGATCTGACAGCCAGAGCTGAGACTGGATAATTTCTGGCCATAAGATTCTTTAGAAAAAAAGCTCTTCAGTCCCTGGAAGAACTTATCAAAGGTCCTCTTTCTTTTAAGTTTTACAAATAAAGACAGGATGTATGTTTAAACATCTACTATGACCATGCTTTGAGGAAGAGTTCTAAGTTTTTAGGTGGAAGCTTTTGGCTTCATACCAAAATTCCTGGACAAGCCTTGCTTATACTGTGCGATGAGGAAAATAATAATAATAATAATAATGATGGTGTAGTAATTATTGCCTCTCATTCCAAAACAAAAAAACCACCCTTCCACACAATACCCTGTACTCTCGGAAACAGTGGAAGGGTAGTTGCCCTTACCGCAAACACGCTCTAGTGTTTCCCCTGCTTCTTTAATAGCTGCTGCTTTCCATCTTATTCTCAAGGTCCTCAGTTTCCACTACAGCAGTTACTATTGATTTTTCTATCGCTGTCGCTCATAATGATCCTCCTCTATGTCCCAACACTTTGCATTACTGTCCCATAAACTTGCAGTTTCTCATCGGCTTTGAGACCTCCGTCTGACCCAATGCAGTGATTTTCTGATTATAAGCCCTGCTGCTACCATGCTCTTGCAGTGTGCATGCTAACTTTCAGACCTGGAAGACAGCATCCTCCTCAGCTCCAAATGTTTGAAGAGAGCAGTGTGAATAAACAGGGCCCCAAAACAGCAATAGTTCTTCTCAATATACAAGAGGAGTAACAAAAATCAAGCCAGAAAGCAGAAGTCTCTGATTCAGACTCTTACCTGTGCTACCTCTTCAAAATCATCATGTCTTTTCTGCAGCGCACGTGCTCTGTGTAGAGACTTCCCCACTCCTGTATGTTTACTCAGAAAGGCTTCCCCGTGATTTTCAATCCAGTCCAGTACCTGCCAGAAAAGAAGAACATCCAATTACCTCTCTCATCTCAGCAGCACCAAGAAATCCTCAAGGTGAGGATAAAACAGCTGCAGAGGTATTGCTTTGTGCTTGCTATGGCTAAACACATGCAGATCTGTCAAAGTCCATTCCAACTGGATAGAAGATAGATGTTTATAGACGTTACTGGTAAATTAGGATTATTGGATTTTTACTATTCGATTTATTTTGAAGTGTAGCTTAGTTATTTGAGCCTGGCAGATACTAAATATTTACTTTCACATAAATGAATTTTGGGGAACAGGAATCAGAAATCTGGAATCTTTTACAAGACGACCCCTCCTCTTAAGAGCTCCTTCTGTAAACTGAAAAACAGTGATAGTTGATTTCACAGAAACAGCAGATTTCAATGGGAAGCATCTAAAATGAGTCCAAAAGTATGATGGAGGAATCAATTAAAATTTATTTTGATGCGGGGAGAAAGCATTATCAGAGTAACTAGAATGAAAAGGTTAAGATTCCTTCACTGCAGGCCATAAAACATTGACCTTCCAAGTCTTTCAGGTTTTCAGTTCGAAATATAACTGATCCTTATGCAAAAGTAAAGGGGCAAATCTGATATTCTGAGAGTTGAAGAGATTTTCTTTTAAAAATAGATCAACTGTATGAGCACCATCCATTTGGAGCTCCTTCTCACACTAAATTTAGATCAAATCTGTTCAGGGTCTACTACAAGCTGCAAAAAAAAAAATTGAGCTTGACAATATGAGCTTGGGAAATTTCACAATCTGATTGCCACCCTTCTAAATCTTTTTCCCCAATACATAGAGGCTAAGAGAATAAATAGTACTAGATCAGTACTGGTATTTGTGTAAGTAGCTAGGACTTCATTCAGCAAGGAGCCCTGCTCTCACAGCAAGTCGTTGATCCTGCTACTGATGCTAATGGACTAACAAACAGTAGCTGGTATTTCCGTCACACTGAAAGAAGACACTGCAAGCATCCCCAGGATAGTGATCGGTGCTGCATCTGCAAACAGCCTCAGAGCTGCATCCTTTCTTTGTGCAGCGCTGGGGCGTAAGCAGCAAGCACGGGCCTCAGTGATGCTGGGCAGGGGCTGCAGGATGCCTTGCAACTCGTGGCAGCTTGGCCTGACAAGGGCTTTGGTATCAGGGTACAGAACTGGGGCGGGAGAGAGCTGTTGTGCAAGGAGCCACTTGTCTTATGTGGGGCTGATAATGAGCAGATATTACTGACTAAGCCTAGAAACCTAAGACTGGAAAAATGGAAGATGTGA